TGTGGTTTGAAAAGGCAATATGGCTTTCCATGAAGCATAGAAATCCAAGAGTGTTTTTCTTAGCAATTGTGTGATAGCATTTCCTGGGGTTATACATCCATAGAATTGTTATTTCTCTGCTCAGAGTCCTTCTGGTTAGGAACTGTGGTGCCCTTGGACAGCTATGACAGACATTCTCAAGAGGAATCAGTGGAGGGGTGGAGAGGGATGAGAGAAGAATTGAGGAAGGAGACTGAGTTAATGTGTCAGGAACTTCTGTCCTCTTGATTTTAGAAAGATAGGAAGGGAGAATTGAGTTCAATGTTTACAAAGCATTTTAGAAGAAAACAAACACTTTCTAGAGAAAATATTTTTATTAATTTTATCTTAATATGCACAGTATTCTACTACTCCTGCTAGTGAGGCAGTGCTAATGGTGCAGTGCATAGGGTGATGGGCCTAGAGTCAGGAAAAAATGAGTTCAAATTGGGACTTAGATACTCACTAGCTATGTGACCTTGGTCAAGTCACTTAATGGATGCTTGTCTCAGTTTCCTCACCTGCAAAATAAGGATAATAATAGCCCCTACCTTGAAGGGTTAATGTGAGGATCAAATGAGATATTTGTAAAAGCATTTACCACAATTGCTGGACATAGTGGGCACTATACAAATACTTACTCCCCTCCTCTACTATTTGCAAAAATTATCAACAAATTTTAAATGATGTTTAAGGAAATATATTGCTTCTTATGGTATTAGGAGGCTTAACAAGCACATTTCTGGATATAAATGCATATGGCAGACCATCCTGTGTCTTGTCAATCAAAAAAGGTAGTTCGTTGTATGACAAGTTCCCATTTTTGATATTACTTTGATTTATCTTGCCTAAAATTATTCTGTGTCTAACCAACTACAGAATATGAAAAAGGGTTGGTTATAATTAGAGAGGAAAATTAGTCAATTCTAATCTCATGTCTGCTTATATTGTTTTGTTTCTACTTTCACTTAAATTGTGGGCAAGAATAGTATTTAGAAATTCTAGTGTTTTCATTTGCTCAATAAAAATAGACAGAATGAAATAGTCAGGTAAAGATTACATTTTAAATGAAGGGTTAGGAATCTTTTCTATCATCACTGATCAAATTCTCAGTAAAAGTCAACTAATCCACTAAATTTTTGCTCTGACATAACACTGTGCTTAAACAAATCCAAATAGAATAATATGCAGTCTTTCATAACCTCATTTAAAACATAGTTTAAAACAATTTCACTGTTAATTATATATTAGAGAAATTATATGGAGAGAAATCTTTAAATCTCCTATATAATATTATGTACTACTTAATTAAAGTTTTATTAACTTTCTGACCAATCAGATGATGGTAATATTTGCTATTTATGGCACGGAGGGGTCTGATAATTTAGTTTAAAGATTACTTATAAAGAATTAGGTAATTCTTGGGGTGGAAGTGAGAATCAATTTAAAAGAATCATTAATAAGATTACAAATTCACCTACAAATTAGTATCTGTCAGATTATTTCATTAAACATAAAAGTAAAATGTTACATAGTCAAATGTAATGTGCTATAGTTGTTATAGGTGAGATATATTAGTACTGCATTTAGTCTACTGTTTCTGTACGGTTAGGGCTGGCACTATATGTAGACAAAATAGGCCAATAAGTATAAACTGTAGCACAGTCCTGCACCTAACACTCTGGGTTCAAACCAACTGGGTTTATTCTAGGGGGATTCCTAGGAATTAAGTTTTCGCTTGTACCTTGACTCAAGAATTCCGTTGGATTCAGAGCCTACTTCTGATACTAGCTAGGTGATCATAGGCAAGTCAGAACCTTCCTCAACCTCAGTTTTTTCATCTTTAAAATGAGAATAGTAAGACCTACAATACTGATTTTATTAGGGTTTTGTGAGGCTTAACTCAGATTATGCATATAAAAGTGTTTTGCAAGCTCTGAAGCACAATATACATATTGATTATTATTATTAAAGTCTCATCTCTTCAATCTCTAAACATTTAAAAATGAGTTTTATTGGTATTACTTATTTTTACATTGAAGTCATTTCAAGATATTATGCTTCTGGACCTTTCTTGAGGAAAAGAAACACAGACGGGACAGCTAGTTGGTGCAGTGGATAGAGTATTGGCCCTGAAGTCAAGAGGACCGAGTTCAAATGTGGCTTCAGAAACTTACTAGCTGTTGACCCGAATGCCTTAAAACACACACATTTAAGCAAAATGAACAAACACAAGGATTGTACCTGACAGTACATGAAATACTACACAACTCTGTTAGATATTTGTTTACATTATTGTAGTCATTATGTGTATTGTTCTTCTAGTTTTTTTTTCTTAGTGAGGCAATTGGGGTTAAGTGACTTGCCCAAGGTCACATCTTCTAGTTTTTGCTACTTCATTCTGAATCAATTCATTCTGTTCTTGCCAGGTAGGTGGCTTAATGGATGGAGCACTGGTCCTGGAGCTAGTAAGCTCCAAGTTCAGCTCCCACTTATGAAACATTTTATTTGGAGAAGTCAATTAAACGTCGTCTGTTTACTTCAGTTTCTTTCTCTGTAAAGTGAGGATAATAGTATAATGATTAAGTGACTTTTCTCACATAATTCTAAATTATTTTCTAATCAGTTAGACCAATGCATCAATACTAAGTTTTACTTTTCCAAGCCCTTCCAATTATTTCTGTCTTTTGTTATCTTTGCCAATTTGCTGGGTGTGGAATGAAACCTTAAAGTTATTCTAATCTGCATTTCTCTTATTAATGATTAGGAACAATCTTTCATATTGCTGTCAGTAGTTTGCAAATTCTTATTCTGAAAGCTATCCATATGCTCTGAATGCTTAGTTTTTGGAGGTCTTATATATTTATATCAGTCTCCAATAGAGTTATTATCATTCCTCCAGTTTCAACTAAAATCCTACCTTCTACAGGAAGCCTTTCCCAAACCCTCTTAACTCTACTACCTTTCCTCTGTTCTTTATTTCCTATTTATCCTATATATAGCTTGCTTGTACATATTTGTTTGCTTTTTTGTTTTCCCATTAGATTATGAGCTCCTTGAAAGCAGGTACTGTCTTTTGCCTTTCTTTGTATCCCCAGAAATGCCCATATAAAGTGAAAACACTACCACACTTTGGATTGATTCTATTTTTCTTAGAACAAATCACTAAGTATACTGGAATTTTCCCACTTACTAAAATTTTTATTTATGGTTTGGTGGACTATTATGAAAACAATTAAATTATGTCTCTATAGATCTTTGAACTTTGAAATAGTAAGAACTACAGATAAAATGGTGTAAATTGTGATGTCATTCTGCATCCTAGCAGCTATGATTAAGATAATAAACTGTCTGCTGCAGAGGCTGGGACTGCCTGGTGATATTGTAAGACTAAAACAGGGGTCAAAAAGTTGTATTGGGGGCCATGCTTACATATACACTTTTACACTTTTTACATCTCCTTCATTTATAAATATGTTCCTTTTCCAGAGAGCCATCTCTTGTAACAAAGAATAAAAAAGCAGCTCTTCACAGCTAACCAACACATCCATAGAATCTGGCACTATACGCAATTTTTACCTTTCTTTCTATCCCCAGAGCTTAGCAAAGTATCTGATACACCATAGGCACTTCATAAATACTTGTTGACTGACTGACTGTCATATCACCCATAGTCTACCCTTTCCTCAAAGAAGAGAAGGTGCATATTCTCATCACCTCTTGGGACCAAACATAACTATTACAATCACATAGGGTTCAATTTCATCCCACCCCTCCATTTACATTGAAGTGGGTATCGTTTCTCTGGTTCTGCTTACTCTGCTGCTTTTTCTCAGTTCCCTGTAGGTCTTCCTATGCTTCTTTGAATTCTTCATCATCATTGTGTCTTATGGAGCAGTAATATTCCATTACATTCTTGTACTCTAATTTGCTTAACCAATGGGCTTTGTTTCTAGTTCTTTTTTACTTACTACAAAAAGTCGTGCCTATTTTTAAGAAAAAAAATTCATTCGAGGCTAATTAGTAAAGGTTTAAATAATCAGTAAACAACTAGTGTCCTAGGTTTTTAAGCCAGTTTAAAAAAAATCCCCAATGAACTTTTGGTAATGGCCTACTTTCTAGGAGGCAGCAGATATGACTGTTCGAGAACCAGAAGGGTGTCGGAAGAGGAAGATTTGATAGCCAGCTTGGGCACTAAGGGGAGGAAAACTGCTAGAGGGGCAGGAGGTGTAAGCCTGGCAAGTGGTGGAAGCAAAGGTGAAAAGACGATTTCATTATATCCGCATTTGTCAGCGTCCCTCCCAGCTCCTGGGAAAGAGAGGGAAGAGAGGTGGAGTAGGAGCCACCCTCAAGACAGAAGGAAGGAAGGAGGGGACAAGCGAACAGCAGGAGGAGGAGCCGTAGCGGCTAGAGGAGGAGCCGTAGCGGCTAGAGGAGGAGAAGCCGCCGCAGCAGCAGCAGCGGCGGACTAGCCACGTTTTGTTTTGTTATTTTCCATAGGAGTAGTTTTCTCTGTCCTGGCTGGAGGGCTGTCAGCGCCGCAGTCCGCCTAGGCTAGCCCAGCCCCCGACCTTTTCAGGTGACAGCGGGTCACCTCGGAGGAGGCGGCTCCATCCCAGCCCACTCCAACCCCTACCCCTGCCCAGTCCTCTTTCGCACACAACCCCACCCCCGCCCCCGCCCCTCTCCAGACTCCCTCGGGCTAGCGCGCTTGGATGAGGGGAGACCGCGGTGGAGGCTGCAGGAATAGGAGCAGCGGCCTCAGCAGCTGCAGTAGCAGCTGGGTATCTAGGACCACGAGGTGGCCTCTGGCCCTCGGCAATCGCGACCGTGGGGGCGAGTCCTTCGGCGCCTAGGAGGAAATGGCTTTCTGACGGAGCAGGCGAGCTAAAGGGAAGCGGAGGCATCTGAACCAGGGAGCAAGGGAGAGATGCCGCTTTGACCCTGCGTGCCCGTCCAGCCGCGGGGCGCCCACCCTCCTGCTGGTGACCGCCGAACCCTTCGCTTGGCCGGGGCGGCCAGCGGTACCTGGCACTGAGAAGCTGCCAGCTAACCGGGCTCGGTTACTCGGGGAGAGGACTCTACAGCTGCCTGAGTTTGGGACTGGGCTGTGACTTGGAGGGGTAGCCCCGGCCCGAAGGAGAAGTGCGGGCGCGGGTTGGCGTAGTTTCACCCGCGGCGGCCCCTTCTCTTCACTCTCGCGTGGCGCGGCCGGGCTTGGCCAAATCTCTCCCTGGAGTTCTTCTTCGGGGAAAGAGTTATGGAAGCGCTGAGCTGCATCCAGGACGAGCCTTTCGTCCACCCCCTAGGACCCGAGCCTGAGCCTCAGTCTGAGCTAGCTGCGGTTGCAGCAGCAGCTGCTGCAGGGGGGAGCCCGTCCCAGACCGGGCCGGGCAAGCCCGGGGAGAAGCGATTCAGGCTCTGGTACGTGGGTTCTTCGTGCCTGGACCGGAGGACCACGCTGCCCATGCTGCCCTGGCTGATGGCGGAGATCCGCCGTCGGAGCCAGAAGCCCGAGCCCGGCACTGCCCGCGAGGTGCTCCTGCTGCTGAGCTCACCATACCTCCGCTGCGTTCCCGCCCCCTCGGGCGGCAGCGGGGGTACGGGGGGTAGTCCTTCAGCCCCCGGCCCACAGCCCAACCCGTCCGTATTCATCTTCGAGCACAAGGCGCAGCACATCTCCCGCTTCATTCACAACAGCCACGACCTTACCTACTTTGCCTACTTGATCAAAGCCCAGCCCGATAACCCCGAATCCCAGATGGCCTGTCACGTTTTTCGGGCCACCGACCCCAACCAGGCAAGTGTCCCCGACCGCCGGGGGCAGGGGCGGCTTGGGCATGGATGTGGGGGGCGAAGGAAGAAAAAAAAAACCTGAATCCAGCCAGAGCTTCTCGGGGTCGTGCTGCTGCGTTTGGGGGGGAGGCAAACGGAGGCTCTAGGGACGTTCTCTCGCACCTCTCAGCCCTTCTTCTCCCCCTGCTAATGAGAGACACTCTTTTGGGGGGTGGGTACAACTTTTCTGGAGGCAGTGAAGTGGGAATAAAAGAAGCGCTTCTGACAAGGACCGGGGGGGGGGGGGGGGGGGAAAAGGCGTCTCAAGAAGCAGAGGGAAGGGGTTGCTTGTGCCAAGGGAGGGAACTCAAGCTGGACAGTTTGACCGTGAGCTTCTCCAGAGCAAGGACTTCTCCCTCCTTCTTTCTATTCCCAACGCCCAAGGTCTTTGATGACTGACTCACTGACGGTCCAGGGGGAGAACTAACGTGGATTACACCGGACTGGCGGGATTGGAAGGTGGAATTTAAAATGGGTCACGTGCAGCTTTATGTTTGTTTAAGAGCAATAGGATGGAGAGGGGGGTGCGTTGGGGTGCCCTTCCTGGCCAACACTTTATTTGGGTTTTTCACTTCGAGGCCAGTCGAGGCCAACATGAACAGCCCAGCAGCAACTGACTGTTGAGGTGGTAGTATTACGGGTGAATGGAGCAGAAATTTCTCCAAGTTCATATTTGCTACTGTTTATTAAATTGAATTGAAATGTCCTGGTGGAGAGAATAGGTCCAGCTGTTTCTAAGTTAAAGAGTGACAAGAATGAAGTACAACGTTTGGGGGCAGGTGTTTCAGAAGTGATTTATGGTACTCTGCAATAAAACTTCAATCTGGCAACTTTTTTTTGCGGGGGGTGGGGCTACAAGGATGTAGAAAACTTCCAGTGAGGAAACTCCCTTTGCTGATGGAGATCCACAGTTTCTCTACTTATTAACTTAAGAGAGTTGGTGTTGAGTGGTTTAGGGAAAGGATTTATATAGCACATACTATATTTCAGGCACTATGTTACAGCAGCCCTACCAGCTAGGTGCTATTATTATTTCCATTTTGCAGTTGAGGAAAATGAGGCAAATAGAGGTTAATTGACTTTACCAGAGTCACAGCTATTAAGTGTCTGAAGCTGAATTTGAGCTTAGGTCTTCCTGACTTCAGGCCCATTGACAGCCATCTGCCTCCAAAGTTTAGTGACTTTTGCCTGTGGTCCACAACTATCATTTGTCAGATGTACATTTGGATCTGATCTTCCATATTTCAAAGTTTGCTCTAATTCACTTTGCCACAGTTTCCTCTTACAATGGCCATTTTTTTTTTGCTGAAACACATATTCATAAAGCTATTTATAACAAGTTTTATATAACATAGTAAGGACTGAATACATGGTTTAAAACATATCAATTATTTAGTACCAGAAAAGTGCTTTGGGTTCTTTGGAGGAACAGTGTTATTTACATATACATAAGTAAGCAAATCAACCAGTCAACATAAATAAATAAATAAAAATAAGCTGTTCCATTGTTTGTCCAGTTAGTTCTGAAATGAGAACATCCTGTTTTAAGAAAGGCTGTTTGTTTCATTCTGATTTAATACCCATATTGAAGACTTCTTGAGTTACAGAGGTTTCCATAAAAGGCATATGTGTGCATGTGCATAAACAAACAAAAAAAGTAAATTGCCTTAACTTTAAAAGAAGCAACTTTGCCCTCATTCTTTGGGCAAACATTTATTAAGTGCCTTCTGTGTTGGGAGTACTAATCTAGGTATGGGAGGCAAGGGGAGGTGGTCAGAAAATTTAGATAAGATGCCCTTATTATAATAATTGATTCTTAGGTAGTATTTTATATACATTTTCCACTCTATGGAGACACTAAATCTAAGAGGGGTGAGTGCTAAAGGTACCTATGGTACCCTTGTTTTATAGATTGGGACACTGAGGCTGAGAGAGGGTAAATAACTTACTCATGTTTAGGAGCAAGGAACTGAACCCAACTCTTGTTGACTCAGATCAATACTTTAGATTGACTTTCCTGTGGAGTGTATGGTCTAGTAGAGGTTGACACAAACATATCAAATAATCGTAATATACAATATTTTATGATAAATGCCTTAGAGGAACAAAATGTGTTAAACAGTTTAATATCCTGATTAGGTGTGTAGAAATTTCAAATCAATGTGAGAGGAGTAACTTTTTGCAGATGAATATTCTGTGGTTATTATCACGTTTATGGCTGGTATGTTTGTTAATTTAATGTGATTTATTTTTTGTTTTGTTTTTACTCTTGGTAGAAATTATCATACCAAAGTATGATGTTGAATATATCATTGTTATTTGCAGTAAAAATGAGAAGTTACTTTATATTATAGGTTATGGCTACCTAGGTTCTGTTTCCACTAATTTTTCTGTAATAGTAGCCAGTTGTATCAGTGATATATTAGTGGATGGTCAATTATTTTTCATTATGTTGAACCAACCCTTCATTCCTCGTATGAGCCTAAGCTGGTCATAGTGAGTCATCTTTCTAATATGTTGTTGTAGACTACTTGTTAATATTTTATGTAAAATTTTTGAATTATTATTCATTAGGAATATTGTTCTGTAGTTTTCTTTCTCTGCTTTGTTTCCTCCCTTTACAATTTAGGTGCTAGAACTTTAATGTACAATTATTTTCCAAGTAATGTTATATTACCTTTTCTCTTTGAATTCACTGGGGCAGTAACCCTTTTGAATTGGGAAGGGTATAAGAGGGAGACAAATCATATTTCATTTCATGTCAGTGGCATTTGCAACCTTGGGCCAGGGCTTTGGGTAAAACTACAAATATAAGATACTCTTATTAGATTGTAAGCCCCTTGAGGGCAGGGACTGTCTTTTGCCTCTTTTTTGTATCCGGGTTCTTAGCACAGTGACTGGATCATAGTAGGCACTTAATAAATGTTTATTGATTATTGAATGAGATGCATGTTACTTGAATTAAATTGATAAGAATCCTTGTCCTGAGGATCAGTGAATGGAACAGTGGATATTCATCCTGGAGAAGAGAAGACTTATGTAATAGATGTCTTAAAAAAAAACAAAAAAACTTAAGGGCTGTCATATGGAAGGACTACATTTATTCTCTGTGTTTTCTGAGGGAAGAAACAGGGCCAATGGGTAGTAGTTACAGGAACTGTATTAGGAATAATCTACTTACAGAACTATCCAAAAATGGAATGGGCTTTCTGGTGAGATAATGAGTTTCTCATCGCAGAAACATTCAACAATGGATAGAGATGACCTCTTGTCCTGGCTGGTGTGTAGATGAGGGTTCATGTTTTGGTTGAGATTAGCCTAGGCAATCAAAAAATTCTTTTCCCACTCTGGGATTCTAGATTAAGCAAATACACTCTTCTCCCAAGTTCTTTTGTACTTAGTAAAGCACCTTTTACATAGAAAGTACTTAATATTTGTTGACTAAAAGAAAATCATTCTTAGCTTTTGGTGAGGTACAACTTCTTTAAACTCTAGCTGATTCATTGTAAATGTTCCTTCCAAGCACTAAGGTTTTACTGATTTCTGTGAACTCCTGAGGATAGGATTTGGGGCGGTCTTCACTATAGTTAATGCAAAAGAACATTAATTGGCCTCCTTTAGAAGTAGGGAGGCCTTGGAGGCTGTAGAGGGGATTCATAGTATGGATTGAAGTAAAGGTCACCTGAGGTTCCTTCCAGCTCAAATTCTTTGAGAAAATTCAGGCCAAATGAGGATTTGTAAGGGGTGTTTTAGAGAAGATTGATTCATTCTTCAGTGGGTTGGAGTGGGGATTGGACCAGATAACAAATGAGACTCATTTTAACTCAGGAATTTTATGATTTAGAATGACAAAGCAGAGTTTCTTCTAATATGTAGAGTGGGTCACTATGAAAAGATCAAAATATTTCCTTGAAGGTTCTGACCATATCCCATTTTGGTGGTGTATAGTAGCAGTTAAGCTAGGGTAGGGAGAGAATTGAAGTTATTCTAAAGGTATTATAAACAACATTTATTAATATATAGTTCACAGATATAGTTTATTGATTAAAATAAGCAACATCTAAAAAATAACAATAATCTTTTCTAGCATTGGAAGTTGTAATGATACACACCCTTTTGGACTAAAGAGGCAAGAAAGCCTTCCCTTTGCCTCCCTCTTGTGTTTTCTACTTGAATTAAGAATATGAAGAACAAAAACACAAAACAAAAGAAAAGAAACTGTTTCTGGCCTCAAAGAGCTTACATTCTACTGTTTTCCCTTTTTCACAGAGTTTTTATGAGGCAATCTCTTGCAAAGCCCTGTAGAAATGGGGTGTTATTATTTTATTATTATTTATGCAAGTGAGTTTTGTGCTTTATATATATTATCACCATTGCCAAGACAATGTGGTTTTTCCTACACAGTGGGCTTCATTGCCATTAAGAAAAATGTCAGACAGAAGCGTTCAGCCAGGGTCTTGGCAGAACTTTTTGTGCTGCTGTCTTTCCTCATAGCCCTATTCCTTTTATTTGATAGGGCTGCCCAGCCAAGTTTGCAGTGTGTTCAGGGCTGCTGTCCTAAAGGATGACCAGGCTACTAACGCTTCTGGCTACAGGAAGTGACAATGTCTGTGCAGAAATAACAATTCTATTGAAATTATTTTCTTTTATGGAAATATGACCTCTGGGATAGAAAAAACACTTGAGTATCTTGGAGTGTTATGATAGAAGTGCCGTAGTAATGTGTTCTCTGGGAATAGGAAGATAGTCCACAGACCTCCACGAAAAAAGAATTATAACATTATTTTAAATAAAGTTTGTTTTCCAAGGTCACACAGAAATAAGTAGGAATCAAGTCATGATCCTCTAATTCCAAATCTAGAACTCTTTCCATTATACCATAATGACTCACTTTATGCTGCCAACCTAGATAATTCAAATTGACAGGCTCTTTTTCACAAACAGCAGTAATTCATTTTATTTGAT